ACAAAAATAACTAGTAGTGTAGCTTGTAAAGGTTTCAAAGGGGAGATGCAAGGGGTGGTCTTCCAAACAGACATGAGGGTTCTGGAACTCAAAGAGTGTGATATGGTGCTTGGGATTCAATGGTTGGCTACACTAGTACCTATGCAATGGGATTTCAAAAATCTCAGTATGAATTTCACCATCAACAATAGAAGGCATGTTTTGAGGGGTGGAAAGCAAGGGGAATTCAAGTTGGTGGATGCTGAACACATGAAGAAATTACTGCAGGAGAAACCTCACGGGTTTGTGGCTCACATTTATGCTATACAATACGTTTCTCCAACAGTATGTGATGTACCTGAAGTGGAGCAATTGTTGTCCCAATTTGTAACAATATTCCAAGAACCCAAAAGCTTGCCTCCAGCAAGAAGCCAGGACCACCACATTCCCCTAAAACCAGATGCAGAACCTCCAAACATACGACCTTGCAGGTATCTTTCTTTCCAAAAAACTGAGAAAGAAAAACAAGTTAAAGAGATCCTTCATTCAGGGGTCATTCAACCAAGTGTTAGTCCTTACTCAGCACCTGTTTTGTTAGTTAAAAAGAAAGAAGGAACTTGGTGCATGTGTGTTGACTACAGGGCTTTAAATACTATTACTGTGAAGGATACATTTCCAATACCTGCAATTAATGAGTTATTCGATGAGCTATATAGTGTTTCTTTCTTTTCTAAGCTTGATTTAAGGGCTAGATATCACCAAGTTAGAGTGCATGCCTCTGACATACCAAAAATAGCTTTTACGACTCATGACGAACACTATGAGTTCCTAGTCAAGTCTTTTAGGCTGACAAATGAACCCTCAACTTTTCAAAGTCTCATGAATGAGGTCTTTAAGGAATATTTGAGGATGTTTATCTTAGTTTTCTTTGATGATATGCTGATTTTTAGCAAAACCTTGAATGAGCACTTATCCCATTTAAAATTGACCTTGCAACTCTTACAGAAGCACATCTTGTTTGCTAAAAGGTCTAAGTGTGTCTTTACTAAACAAGAAGTTGAGTACCTTGGCCACTTGGTCTCCGACAAGGGTGTTTCTACAAATGCTAGCAAACTTGAGGCCATGGTTAACTGGACAATTCCTCAAACCCTCAAACAGT